CACACCAAGCTTTTCCTTGGATGTTACAGATTGTATCTTTGCAATAAAATCCAAGAACTCCTCAATTTCTATTTTCTTACGTCTGTTGCTTTCAATGAACTCAAAAAGAAAAGACATTATTTCTTCACTTGTTATTCTGCATACTTCTGTCACGCTTGCACCCAAAGAAAAATAATGTACAACTAATGGATGTTTCACTATAGGTCCCAATTCAAGTTCTTCAAACCGCTCAACCCCCTCTGTATCGCATATTGCAATTTCCAAATCATGCAATGTTGTAATTCTATGAACGCCAACAAAGCAGTGGATGAAGGAATTAATCTACAAAAAGATTAAAATATAAGAACTTTTTCAGAGAAGATTCATAATGCCACATGTTTGTAAAAGAACGAATAAACTGCATTAAGGTATCTAAAACTTCAAAGCAAGTTAACCCCTCCCCTCCAAAAAAAATCCAGATGTTATATATGTTCAACTTTAGCGTGCTCATAAGTCTACAAGATACTTACAGCCATAAAGGTAAACAATCGTCCATCAAGCGGAAACAAAAAGATTCACGAGCATTAAAGAAATAATATCTTTATGCTAATGTATCATTAGAAATAGCAAAGGCAGAATGTAGTTGGTGGGAACAATCAAACCTTATCATTAGATTATTCATAACAAAGTTAACAGCTATTGCATCTTGTTGACCTAAATTTGAAATCAAACGGAACAGATGAAGAAAAAAGAAGCCTTGGGCCATGTGATCTGAGCAAGTTCACTATATACACTCGAAACTATATGAAATTACATGTTTACAGATTCCTTGACATGCAATATTGAGCGACAGGGTGATTAACTTATTAGTGATTTGTTTAGTGCAACTTCCCAAAAATATGTTCTCAAGTAAAATACTATGGGTGTGAGAGCATAGTTACATACACTGAGATACTTATATATCTATTCATTGAAGAGAAAACAATTTTTATATTTTAAAATAATATTAATTCATTCTCATCTTGAAAGAACGCACATACGACATGTCAAATACCGTCAATTTTGATTGCTACTCCTGAATGTTTTAGTTCCCCAAATTAAATTATGGAGCACGACTTTTCGAATGCACTTCGATGGAAATCTGAAAGAGTTGAGTGCCGTTTATAGAACAATAACCAGAGTATTAATATCATCGGAGATGCCTAGATGAACCACCTAATTATCTCCATCATCCATTCTTTTGTCTTAATGTCTCTTATAGAGCAGAGCAATATCCACATAGCATTGGTATTATCACGAAACTTGGCCACATGAAGCAAAAGATAATCTTCCAAGTTCCAAGGTTATTCACAATTAACTTTGTCTTCCACTCTTTTTGTCATATGTCATCATGTGGTATGTGGCTCCGAAGCAACAATGTACTTGTGTCCTTTCACACTCTAAATCCTTTAGACAAAAAATATGCCCACGAAAAAGAAGATTATGTTTTAATTTTTCGGTTGTTATTCTTGACATTATGACTAATGTTCTAATCTATCGGGAAATCCTATTATCATACATAGGAAGATTATAGGCCCCAAAGATTACAAAAATGGTGCAAAGGATAAGAAAAGGAAGAAGAAGAAGAAATATCAGTAATGGATCCGGTTAATTTAATGTTAAGTTAAAGTTAAAGTTCAGATGCTCAAGTGAGCACTGGTTCAGTTCAAAAGTTCAGTTCAAGAAGAGATAGAGTTCAAGTGTAGTTTCTGTGAAGCTGTTCACGTTTTGAATTTCTAAAAGTGTTATAGTTCTAGAGTTTGAGTATTACTACAGTTTCATATATTTTGATGTCGGGCTATAGTTATCATAGTTTAATAATGCCATTGAAAGTTCAAAGTTATATTAATAAAAGTAGCAGTTTAGTGGTATTTAACACTTACCCACAGTCTATAGTAAGTTTCTCCCAGTCAACAATAATAATACTCCGTATATAAGTATGCCACTAATAAATGTGTGGCAACTCATTCAAAATTGAACAGGTTAACAGCAAACTTCCAGTGCCTGTGGGATTGAATGTGCTTCATGTATATATTTTATATTTATAATTAAATGGCCAATATTCTTAAGTACCTTTCCTTCAGTGAGTATAAGACGATGAAGGGAGGGCACTTGCTGCATTTGGAAACCCAGAGAGTCCCACGTGTCAGCCTGGAGTATTACCAGAGCAGCTTGAGACACTTTCCAAGCTGAGACAGAATCTCCAGCAGCTATAATTTCGCGACGAGCCTTCAAGACTGCCTTATCAATCATCTCTATGGCCCCTACCGGCCTCGTAGGCTGAGAATGGAACTGAAAGTTGGGGTCTTGGAAGGGAAAGAATGGATTTTGGAACTGTAGATAAGGGATTCTGGAAGGCAACATTAGGGAAGACAATGGGATTCTGGGCATAGAATAGGTTAGGGTTCCTGTCAAAGTTGGTGCCTTCGGAGGAAGGCGGCGCCCGGCCACCGCCGCGCGACGGTCGTCCGTACATCTTGATAGTGTTTTATGTCCACGAATTTGCGCGGGGGCCATGAAAGGCCTTTTATAAGGGTATGACCCAGGTTGTACCCTGGTAATCTGGTAAGACCTAAAAGGCAACTTTCTGATTTTAGGGACTGTTTGGAACTGATTCTAATTTTGCTTCTTGTTTGAAGCTGAAGCTAAAGCTGAATCAAAATCAGTTTCTAGAAGCTTCTAAAAAATTGATTCTAGGAGTAAATTAGAGCACCAGAATCACTTCTGCACTTTCACCCAAACACTCCGACTTCTGCTTCTGCTTTCTGAAGGAGCAGAAGCAGTTTTAAGATCAAATCCAAACACCCACTTAGTTGAATTTTAGGTAAACCAGCCTTGTAGTTTGGGTGATTTTTTTTTTTGTTGTTTTTAAAAAAAAATTAATAGGAGTCCTAATAATCCCCACTTCCTATATTTTAAAATAGTTGATAAAATCTAATTAAAAATGCTAAGATATGGATACAAATATATGTTCTATACCATTGTATATAGAACGAGTATTATATTTGTACGATGCACGAAACAAATATTCTTATATTTTATGTGTGCAAGATAATGATACAAATATATGTTCTACATTTGTATGAATATAAAACGTGTTTTTAGAGTATGGTCTGTGACTTTATGATAAAAATCTTGTTTTGTTGCATGAACTAATACCTCGTGATTTGCCTTTACAAGTTCTTTTGCAATTTCAATTTTTTTTATTTGAATTTTTTTATTTCAATTTTTATGCAAAAGTTCTTTACAAGTTCTTTTGCATAACTTGTCAGTTGGATATTTGAATTTAACGATTGTTAAAATTATTAGTAATAAACTTGGAGGTTGTGTTAAGCTTGATGATCATCATTTTGTCTATATGTGAGGCAACTGCTTCATAAAGATTTGAACGTCCCAAAAGCAAATGAGGATTGCCCGAAAATTTGTGGGCTTATTGGAAAAACTTCACAACTTTTGCTTCACTCGTGGGCTTATTGGCCATGGTGATAAGTTTTGTCCTTTGGTGCTGTATTCTCCTAGCCAACCTCACTTGAAGGAGTTTGGATTGAGGATGCGAGCAGGTAGTTAGTTTAGTGATAAGGATGAAGAAAATAAATGACTGGTGGAAAATTCCAATAAACAGGTGATTGATATTAATAGGGGTGTTGAGAGCTCCACTATGGGGAAGGGGGGTTGTGGATGTAGGTTCGGGTACTGATGTTCTTGAAGGTGAGGCTTCCATTCCAAAGAACCATGGCGAAGGAGTGCAAGTAGCTGAGTAGAAGCGTCGCATATTGGAGCTGTCAGGAGAGCCATACTTAGTGAAGGAAGTTGAAACCAATTGCGGGAAAATGGGTTGGGGGCGAGTTTTGGGCAACATGCTCGCCCAGCAAGTTGAAAAGGGATGACACAAGCTCTCAAGTTTATCTTTTTTACTTTCAGTTCTATTTTCATACTAGTAGTTTTACTTTCAGTCTCTTTTGCCCGCTGCGTGGTTATCGAACTGTTGTGTTTTTAACATTTGCAAATATATTTCTAATCATATGGCTTATGACCGAGATGAGAGGGTTTGTCCTTCTACTACTCTGCGAGTTTCTAATATTCTAATATAAGCATTCTTTGTTCAAAAAATGACATTGTATATAGAGTTAGTATTATAGTACTTGTGCGATGGTCCGTATTCAATCATTTATTTTATGTGTGCTATTTACATATTAAAATGCCACTTTAAGAGTACTTGGTTAAAAAAATAATTGTGATGGTCGAACGATATGGAGCTGAGACTTCTCTCTAAAACTTCGTTTCTCCTAGGGCTTGGCCGGTGTGTCGATCTCGGTCTTTGGCCGGTGGTCGGAGGTGCAAACGTCGACGAGCAGGGCAGGAGGCGAGGGTGACGGAGCACAGGACAGAGGCGAAGAAAGACAGATCGCAGGGGCGAAGGCGTGGATAGATCGCGAGCCGTGGTTTCGTTTTCATCGGAGTCTCACACCGAGGAAGGAGTTAGCGGACTGTCGGTCAATTGAATGGAGGATATTGTAGCCTCGTATCACAGAATGTCGATGAAGGAGAAGGAAAGCAAGTTGAACTTCGACAAGGAGCCAAAAGGAGGAGGGCGTGCAGGATGAACCAGCAACATATCCGGTGGTGGCGGTGGTCATCACAGACCGGAAGATCAAGCTGCCTGGATTTCAAGAATTAATGTCTTCACTTTGGAAGCCAGGCAGAGGTATGACTATTAAGGAAATTGGTGACCAAAGGTATTTACTAAACTTTAATCATGTTTTGGATATGAATCGTGTGATTGAGGATGGCCCTTGGTTGTTTTGAGCGTGATTTAGTGCTGTTAAAGGCTATTCAGCCGAATGATATTCCTGAATCGATGAATTTGTTTGAGGCTTGTTTCTGGGTTCAGGTGCATAATGCTCCGTTTAAATATAGGAATTTGAGGTCTGCCAGGAAAATTGGTAATTTTTTGGGTTCGTTTATTGATAAGTCCATTTTTGTACTTATTTTTCTTATCAAATTTAAGTGATTTTTTATTGAAAATAGAAAGAAAAGGCATGTTTTAGATATTTTGGCTCAAGTTTCATGAAATCAGGTGAAAACACATTCATAATATGTTTGCCGGAATTTTGGGTCAATTGAGCACAAAATGAGTCAATTTGAGTAACAAAAATGAAGTCATACCGGAAGAAGCAAGCATTATATGAAAGTGATCCAGACAAATTTAGCAGAAGGTGCCCAAATAGGCGCCCAGAATGGCCGCCTGGTTGACCGCCTACGGAAAAATCAAAAGTCAACATTGACTTTGACTCGAAACCAGAAGAAGACCGAAGGCTGCCGACACTGGACAAAAGGCGGCCGCCTTTAATGACCGCCTGCGGCACAAGGTGACGCGAGCAACCACCGGCCGTTGCGATACGACGGCAGGCGGCCAGACAGGAACGGCAGGCGGCCGCCTTCTGGACCGCCTGCGGCTGACAAAGACGGCTGGATTTGAACTGCCGGCGACATGGACGGTAGGCGGCCAGCTTTAGAGGGAGGGCGGCCGCCCTCTTGGGCGCCTTCGGTGAAATTCAGGCTATAAATAGCAGACTTTTTCCTCATCTCAAACACACCTTCTATAACCTTAAATCAGTTCTAAAAAGGCTCCTTCTTCTTCTATTTTCGAGCTCCAAAGGCTTTTGAGAGAGAGAAACTTCAACCCTCCATATCTTCTTCATTTTAGCTCCAAATTGTAAGTTCTTTATATGTATTTTCATCTTCTCAACGTGTAGAATCTGAATCTGTGCTTTGTTTGTTCGATCCGTTCTTCGAAAATTTCCAGATTATTTTTCAAGTATTTCGCATTTACTTCCAAAAATTAAATAAAATAGTTGTTGATGTTGAATTAATTCCAATTAATTATATAGTTGTTTACTAGCCTCAAGGTAGTTAATTATCCGATTAAAGTTAATTTTCACGAAGCATAAGTAAATTTTAATTAAATTCGGTAATTATTTGATATTATTGCATAAATTAGAAACAAATACTCAAAAAAGGGAAAAAATTAGTTTCGGTCCTAATTCGAGTTTAGTTAACTTACACATCACTACTAGTAGTTAATATAAAATTTAATAAGAATTTAGAGTATTTTTAGTTGCTTTTTGCATTTTCTAGTTAAAATTCGGAAAATCATCAATTAGTTGCTAAAATTGGATCTTAGGTTTATTAATTCATGAAAAATTCCAGAAAAATATATTTTAGTTCCTATAAGTTTATTGTTCCAGAATATAAGCTTTGTTCAATTTTTGTTATCATCCATGTTTAATTCCTTGTTAATGTTGAATATATTCATTATATTGTTAATTGTAAAAATGATGTTTAGTAGCTAAATTTGTTTTGGGCATGAATTGAGAAAAGGAATATGGATTGACTTGTTGACCGAAAATTAGGGATTAAAATTAATAAATTGGACTAGTTGTTTAAAATGATGAAATAGTAATTAATACTCCGTAATAGTTAGCCATTTTCATTAATTAAATTCTTGGAAAATTATTTCTGACTTGTCTAAGAGATTAGAAATTAATTTAAACCAACCATATTTGAGCACATTAATAAGGCCTAGAAATAGGATAATTTAATGAAAAGGATTTACATCTTGTCTATGAGAAATAAATTCAATCGCTAAAATAAAGAGTTTAACTAGTTAATGAATTTGGCTATTTTATTAATTAAAATATTGGAAAATTATTTCTACCTTGTCTATGGGTTTAGAATATAACTTAAGCCAACCATTTTAAGCACATTAATGACACCTAGAAATAGGATAAATTAATGAAGATAGTTTCTATTCTTGTCTATGAGGAAAGAAATTATTAGTCCAATTTTAGTTTTAATTTCCCTAATTAAGACGTCCAAGAACATATCTATTTCTAATTACTCAATTCATTGCCCTTATTTGCATCAATCTTTAGAACACTTAATTTTTTAAACATTAATCTTTAAATTGAACCTAGCTCTAAGTTATAAACTGGCATAATTTAGAACACAATCACTTTCCTATATCGAAAAAGCTTCCAATGATTAGCGATAGCCCGTGACTAAAATTAAATTAAGAAACTTCTCCCCCATTCCTCAAGAGACACGATGCACGGGGAAAAACCGAAAGGTTAGACTCCGTTTTACTACAACGCCGCGAAAGCGGTTATCATTTATTAAGTTTGAAATGAGCCAGTTTGAGGGTAGGCAGAATTCCTATCTCAGGATAAGGGTATGTTTGGATGTTCGTCAGCCTCTACAAAGGGGCACAAATTTGACACAGGATGGGGTGAAACATTGGGTAGATTTCAAATATGAAAAACTACCTAGTTTCTGCTTTATTTGTGGTGTTAATGGACATTCTGACAAATTCTGTCCATTAAAATATGAAGAGGGTTTTGTTGCTGAAAAAATGTATGGGCGAGTCTTAGGGCAGGTGGAAGAGTGAAGACCAGCCCTACAGGGTTTAATAAATGATTATTTTTTTATTGTGAAATTATCTAAAATAAAGACAATAAAATCTTTTTTTTTATGAACGCCTAA